TTCTAGGAGGTAGATAGTCGAGACATACTAACATGTTAGTGGACATGCTTGCATGTGCACGTATGGATGTCCTTCCCCCCCCCCAAGACTAATTTCATGTTAATTCTAAAGGACATGCCAGAGGAAAACACGGAGGTTGTCAGCGTTGTTAAATTTTTGAAAAAGATATATTACAATGTTCTCTTAGTAGTAGAAGATGAAGAAAAGAGTTCATACCCATCAGAGGTACAATATAGTGTCCCTGTATGGCGTTGGAAAACCCTATTAGAAGGAGGATGCCCTATAAGCCCTACCACAAATGATGAGGATGGTGATTCTGATACTAGTATAGTGACGAGGGAAGCTCACATAAACGCCACAAGATAAATGATGCTACTAGCCTCTCTGCGTTTTAAAATGTTATTTTGGTGAGGGTGTCGGACATGAACAATTGGTAATAATGATGAGCCTCATTTTACACCAAGAAATTTGATATTAATCACTTAATAAACACTCGCCTGCACTTCTCGATTTGAATAGTGGGTGGTACAATATTCTCTTATATCGGTGGAGAAACTCAATTTGATTTCTTATCAAAAGGCTTTGGGTTTGTGTATGACAACATTAACTTTTTCATCCTTTTCTCTAAAACTACTCTTGTGTTCAAATCATTTGCAGTTTAATCTCGTCTTTAATGCATTCTTGAACTCTTAACTTCATTAAAAGTATACAACTGGTTTTATAAGGGGATTTTCCACCTCAGGTCCCATTTTGGTTCTGAACGAAAGAGTTGTGCCAATACATGCATGTAATCCAAAAAAATCTCAAATTTCATATCCAAACTTTAGTTTTTCATGTGTTATTTATTTCATTCTTTTTTCTTACCAAAATTCATAAACTTCAGAGCAATGAACCTTTTTCAATAATCAAAAGGTCCGATTTTGAAGAAACCACCTTCTTTTAGCTTCTTCGATCAATCTCGTTATAGATTCTTCGATCAATCTCCGGCAATCAATTTCAGTGGAGAAGAACAACACGACCCAGAAAACTTGTTAAACTTAAGCTCACCGTACCATTCGAACAAAAAATTGAATCCATGGTATATACCTTCGTTAATACTGAGGTACCTGCAAAACACTGCAGTAACAAGTGTTGACGGTTCGGTTCTAATCAATCCGAACGGTTCGGGGGTGCG